ACATGTTCATGGGATGTATGACACATTCACAGGGTATACGAGTTTCCTTTAATAGCTGGCGTGCATAATACCTAAGGCACTTGTACACCTATAACTCCTCCCCGTATCATTTTGTATTTGAAATTTGGCTTAACAGGTCTTGTAAGGTATCAATTTTCTGAGTCAAAAATAGGGAACCCGGCCTTCATTCATTCCTTTGCAATTCAGCTTAGAGAGCTTATATTGCTAAGAGATTCGAGTGTACACTAGCTAGAAGTTAAGAGAGAGCTTTTATTTTGTTAGTTGGTGAGCAACTATTTTTCCCATAAGTTTTATTTTGTTAAGTTTTGATCTTAGTTCAAATTTGCTTTCCAATGTTTAGAACCTAGGATGTAGTGCATTTTATATTTTGTTGATTTAGGAGTTTGGATAGAGTTTAATTTCTTTAAGTTTTTTTAAGTCATGAGTTTTATTGTAAATTTCGACAGTGCCCTAACGCCTTCCCCATAGGGGGTTGTATCGGGATACTAAGCCTTCCCGCCTGCCAGGAGAGGCAGTCACGGTAAATGCCAGGTGACACCGCGGTCAAAATTTCTTTGTCTGCCAAGAAAGGCAGTCAAAGGTCTTCAAATACTTGTTTATAAAGCATAGCATTTCCCCGTCTGCCAAGAAAGGTGATCACGGGTACTTAATTTTATGCAAATAAATTTTTTCGTATGCTAAGAAAAATTTCACCACATGCAAAGAAAAGTAGTCAATGGTACTTAATTTCACATCTACAAATTTCTCCACTTACAACAAAAAGCATTCATGGGTACTTATATCATTTAAAAAAAAAATTATAAAATAGCTAGTATAGAGGTTATACCTAAGCTGTGCGGCAATTGAGGCGGCGACAGCGAGATGATGGTGATGTCGTTGCACAAGGCCTGCAATGCAAAATAATTTTTTTATGTTGTCATTTATATTATTTAGTTAGATATATATATATATATATATATATTTTAAATGAGGGCTATAGAGAGAAAGAGAGTGCAAGCTCTCTTTCTAGAGGAAAAAAAGGGAAAAGGGGGTTTTGATGCAAATGGTATAGGAATGCATATCTCTCCCCAATTTAATAGAGAGAAAAATTATTTCTTCCTCTAGGAGCAGGGCAAGGAGAAAATGAGGGTGAGAGGAGATATATGAGGTGTTGAATGGAGTGTTTGAAAAAAAATCATGGAATTTATCTTTCTAGAGAGAATTTTCTCTCTCTAGGCCTAGTGAGAGGGGATTGAGATGGAGCTTTTTTGGTGGGGGATGTATAGGTGTAAGGCAAGATTTTTTATGAAGGCATGTTGATGGTTTGAGGAATGTAGAGAGAAATAAATTTTTTAGGATTAGGATTTTAGATAGGTTTGGAAAGATGGAGGAAGAAGAAGAAGAAGAAAAGAGAAAAGGAAGAAGATAAGAAGAAATGGAGGAAAATGGAAGAGGAAGAAAGAAGTAGAGAGAAGAAGAAGAAGAGAATATGAAGGAGGGACATTACCGTGGGTGGTGGAGGCTTGGCCGGTGGTTCCATGCGAGAGAAGGGGAGAGAGCCGAGAGGAGAGGGGGGGGGGTGAATGTGAGTGTGTACGAGGGTTATATGAGTGTTGGTAGTGTCTTATCTACAAACCCATCTGCCTTCCAAAATTTATCCTGAAACTTAATCCGTTAAAACTCCCCCGAAGAATAAAAAGCAAAGAGGGCGGAGGCTGGAGCCAAATTTTCGGAGCCCACAATTTCAAAAATTTCAAATTATTTAAATACATCATTTGGATGCTTACAAGCCCTAATACAAAATCCACACATCCTATCAAATGAAAGTTCCTACATTCCATGTCAATTTTTTCATGACATGAGCATTGGGTAGGAAGTGCATGTATCTACTGGCGGTCAAAAGCCTTTGTGTCATCATTCAAGTTGAGATCAAATGATAGCATCTACCCCAGGACATGATCGTAGGCAATGGATTGGGCATAATATGAGGAAAAATACATGCATTTGGAGGTTATTGGACACTAGTCCAACTAGTCAACATGCACCGACATCCTCTTTAAGTTCTCACATGAGAAGAATTAAATGAAAATTATCGGATTTCCACGAATTTGCAAAGAGGGCGTGGGTGTTTTTTTGGGTTTAGAAAATATAATGTGAGGTTTCTAGGGACCTTAGGGCTCAGGGAGCATCAAACACATCCATTGGCATGGAGACCTCAGGGTTTTAAGTTTGAGGGATATACCTCGACAAAGCAAGTGTCCGACGGACATCGGCCGTAGCACCATGTTAGACCATTCCATTAGATCGGTTCAGCTGGTCCACACAGGACCGGCCTAGGTAAATAAGGGCGAAAATCTCCGCATCCTATACTCCCCGCGCAATACGCCAGATCCCATGGAGTTGTTTAGGAAGATTTTTTGAGAGAATTAGGAGGGAAATTTGAATGTAGGGACTAATTAGGGATTTCCTTTTGATTTGTATGCATTAAATAGTCATTTTCTTAGGGTTATGGCATCTTGAATTTGGCTGAAATTTGAGATATCTTAGATTTAGATTTTCTTTTGGGCTCTAGCGGCATCTAGAGATTTGGGAGAGATCGACCCTCCTCTCGAATAGAGGATCAATTATATCTTTCTATTTTCCACTTCCCTTTCATCAAATAATACAAATTATTTATTGGTTTTTGTGGTATTGTTTGGATATTTGTGGAGGATTTTTGCAGTTTTCTAAAGATTGATAGGAATTACTTGAGATCTTCAAGTGTTTCCTATCAAATTGGTATCAGAGCATGTCGATTGAAGGGGAACCAATGGCCGGAAGAAAAGTGAAATTTTTTGAGGGAGAACTTGGGCAAAGCAAATTTTGAGGAGAAGATTGTTGATTTTCAAAATCAGATTGCATCTGTTAATGAAAGGATGGAGGAAATGTTCGTTGTGGTGGAAGACATATAGAAGACATTGCTTGAAGCCAAAATCAAACTGGTGACATCGGAAGCAAAGGAAGTTATCGGTAGCCATGGAAGAGATGAGAACCCTAACATATTTAGGGGAAGGAAAAATCCAGAAGTGGAGATTATGGAGGGAGAAGATAGAATGTCTCCTCTAGAACCACTTGCTAGAGAGGAGATAAGCATTGGCTATGCAAGATGGGGTACTAAATTTGAAAAGAGAGGGGATGATTTAGATCGCCGGGGTGCTGACTTTGAAAGAAGAAGAGGGAATTTTGATGAAGGGTTTGAGTATGATTGCCGGAGGGAAGATCATAACAATTGGGGAGCACCTCCTCATCGAGGAATGGGAGGTTATGGAGGATTTAGGGGAAACGGGTGTGGCCAGAGGGTGAGGAAACTGAAGATGCCAATCTTTGAGGGGGAGGATGCGCACAAATTGATCTACAAGGTTGAAAGATGTTTTTCCATCAATGGTTTGACAGAAGAGGAGAGACTGACGGAAGCAGGCCTATGTTTGGAAGGGAAAGCTTTGACTTGGTATCAATGGAGGGAGATGAGACGACCCATACGGAGTTAGAGAGAGTTCAAGGATTGTTTGATAGAATGTTTCCGAACCGACAGGGGAGGATACTTCTATGAGCAGTTTTTCTCCTTGACGCAGGATTGTTCAGTAACAGAGTATCGAGAGAGGTTTGAGTACCTTGCTAGCCAATTGGACCGCCTTTCTGAGATAGTGCTAGAGGGGAACTTCATGAAGGGATTGACACCAGAGATCCGGCCATCGGTTAGAGTAATGAGGCCTCGTGACTTGAGAGAGGATATGGAGCTAGATCAATTGGTAAAAGATTAGAGGCACCTGGAGAGAGAGACATGAGGCAGCAGCTCAGAAGGCCCGTGCAGAATGACCAACACCTTATTGAAATCCAAGGAACCAACACCAGATACTCTTCGGGGGACTTCGAAGGAAAAGACTGCAGGAGGAAGACCTATGGACAACTTCAAGAAGTTTGCAGAGACGGAATTATAAGAGAAGAGGGCGAAGGGACTCTGTTTTAGATGTGATGAGAGGTATAAGCCAGGGCACATGTGTATGGACCAAACTCTTCAGGTACTTACCGTTTGTGATGTAGAAGTAATGGAGGAGGGTGTTGTCTTTCCATCTTGCAGATAAGCTGGATCGTTGAGAGGGGAGTATTGTTAGACCAGTCCAGTTGGTCCACACGGACCGACCCAGGCGAATAAGGGCGGAAATATCCACCTCCTGTATGCCCTGCACAATCCGCCGGATCCCATGGAGTTGTTTAGGAAGGTTTTTTAAGAGAATTAGGAGGGAAATTTTAATGTAGGGACTGTTTAGGGATTTGCTTTTGATTGTATGCATTAAATAGTTGGTTTTTCTAGGGCTAGGGCACCTTGAATTTGGCTGAAATTTAAGATCTTTTAGATTAAGATATTCTTTTGGGCTCTAGCGGAATTTAGAGATTTGGGAGAGATCGATCCTATTCTCGAATAGAGGATCAATTATATCTTGCTATTGTCCGTTTCCCTTTCATCAAATAATACAAATTATCTACTGTTTTTCGTGGTTTTGTGCAGATTTTTGTGGAGGATTTTCGCTGTTTTCTAAAGATTGTTAGGAATTACTTGAGATATTCAAGTGTTTCCAATCACACCATTACCTTGAAGAGGTAAATGAGACTGAAACGAGAGTTTGTTGTTTTGTGCTGTTTGAAGTGTTTGGGTTATTCTCTGCCAACACCTCGCTAGAGTTGATATACAAGTGTTGTAACAAGATGCTATTCCTAAGCAAACAATACGTACTTGAACATCACAGCTCTCAGATACCTCATTAAGCGGATGGTTAAGCTTAATGGATTGAAGGATTATTTTAGTTGAGTAATTTAGGATTGGATGTTGATCTGGCTTTGATACATTGGCAGCAGAGAATTTATATTCAAATATATAATCAGCAGTTCAAGGAACGGAAATGCCCCCTCATGATGATTAGTATAAGCTTCTCTTAAGTCGATTTAAATCGCATATTACCAACCTCTAAATGGACATATTTCAGACCAGGCCATCCAGATGCAATGATTTCCTGTGAGCCTACATGGCAGTAACACATTTGTAAATTTACTAAAAAGCTATGAAACGGATATTAAGAACTTTAAAAGAAAATCACATTATTTGAATCTGCTTAAATATATTACCTGAGTCGAGAAGTTTACAACCTGATAGCGAAAGTTCAAGAACATTAGAGCAGTTCTGAGTTAATAAAATCAAATCATTATTTGTCATCCATGGGGTCACCCAATCTAGCTTCAACGATGTCAAATTTAGCATTGGGATCTGAAAGCTTAGTGACGTAAAATAACCAAGACAGCAGCAAAGCCACAACATTTGCAGATGTTTGAGAGATTCTAAAATGCTTCTGACGATATCATCATAAATCACCTGATAAGCATGTAAGAAATAAACAGAATTGGGGCAGTTCTTCCAGTTCTCAAAGCAACATACGCACCAGCTGAATTTTTATTCATAACTAACCTGAAAACGTAGAACCAGTGACTCCAGAAGTGGACAGATCTTCGGAACAAGACATAATAAATGGTGATCCATTTCTGCACCAAGACCAACATATAAAATCCTTAAATTACGAAAAGCAGGTTGTAGCCTCTCCAAACCTATTGAGGAGAACCCCCATCCAAGGGCCAGTTCTTCCAGCATACACCTTTTACCTAACTCATCGAGAAAATCTTGAAACTCCGTTCTATGAGTATATGCTAGATTCTGATCACCACCATGATGCAGTTTCGAACAACCAGTTCCTCTCAAAGATCTCATCTCAGGATTTCTTTTTATGACATAGTTTAAAGATTGCATAGAAACCTAATTCATTGACAAAATTATTATTTTTTTATTTTTTAAAATTAAAATGCTACCATAGAACTGAAAAAAAGAAATTAGAAATATTAAGAAAAAAACATAGATTAATGCATAATATAATAATGTCAAATGCAGTAAACATGTAAGAAAAAAAAAACAATAATTCTTAACTAAATTAATGATCAGGTAATAGTACACAAATTTCATAACTTATTTAGTTCTCAGCAACTTCATGAGGAATGTACCAACAAATGGGAAATGCAAAACAGTTGAATTTTGTTCATATTCAAAAACTTGCATGTGTCAAATAGAGCTCCTAGCGTGGGGCGTAACACAACATTTGCACAACATCTCATATTTTGCTCGTTATTTTGCCATATATGGTTGTGTCCTCCTTGGAGCGGTTATCAAGGTCAACACCATTACGTGTGGATGATGCTATCATCTATCGCTTGCGTTCTTGATGAGCTGGACATGTTTACCCCTTCAACTCAGGAGGTATGGATTGACACTTTTTTTATATGCTTATTTATAAAATTGAAATTTGAAATATTGCCCTTTTATTGCAATCTTACAAGTTTTTGTGGCCATGATATTATTGACTAATTCAAGGCCCACCAAGAACTAAGGAATCATTCTTGAATGTCCCATCTACTAGGTTAGTTATTTTGGTGGTCGATGCATGGACACAAATTAATTGCGTAGTTAATATAAATTGTGGTCTTTGAGTTGGTTAGGTATTGCATCCTCTGCCTTGGTTCCCTAGGGGTGTTCTCATACTCTAAATTTCACTTGAGATTCAACGATGGAGTTAGGGCTTTCTATCTCTGTTGAGGGTTTGTCGGTTGGTAATATCCCCTCTATTTCTTCTGTTTCATAATTAGGGTTCTTTTGATTTACCTAAATCCATGCTTGAGTTGGATATTTGCCGGCCAATTGTGAATCCTGTTGCCATTTTTATTTCTTGAATTGATACTGTAGCAATATTCACCAGTGCTGCATGAGAGTTTTCTAGAGTGAAAAGTTTTATCTCAATATTCACCAATTCACTCCCCCTCTTGGTTAGTCTTGGGACAATTGCATAGGTCTAACAACCTATACGGAATCAACACTTATCCCAAAATGGTTAACGCTCCTTCACCAGTTCAATTTGCACTTAAAATTTGGAACCAAAGACTTCCCTTCAAATTCTAAGTATGCTGTGCCTACCCCCCTAGCCCTACAAATAAGATATTTACATTATTTGTAAACATTATCAAGATTGTTGACCCTCCTATTCTTGAAGTTGTTCATCTTCCTCCTATTCACAAAGACATTGATGATCATTATCCATGATATACTTACGCATCTGATATGAGCATTCTTATTGATGATGCTCTAGTGATAGAAGGTTTCAAATCCTATATATCAAATGAAGGCAGAATAAAAAAAACCAATCGTCATGCAATTGGGAAAGCTACAATTCTAAATTGAAGTGCACATCAAAACTTCAGAATGAAGAAGCAAACTTAATGGAAATTTTAAATAAGTCAGTGAATTTTACCAGTGTATCAGAAATATCAAGTTTCTCCAAGGAACAGCTTGCAAGCTTATAGAGAGCATCATCATCAAGCGAAGTTTCCCTTAAACTTAGAACTCTCATGATAGATATCTTGCTCATAAGATGTAACAGAGAATTGTTATCAACATCTGTGTCGAAAAGATCACTTGGTTAAAAGAGTAGAAGTATCATGCCAGAGCAGGCTAATTGAGGTACAAAATAGAAGAACAAACTATTCGTTGCTCATAATATCTAGCCTATCGTGTAACTGATACTAGCACTAACAATCCTAACCTAGTATTTAATACTGGGGCACTCCAATTTTACAAGTGTCAGTATAATTTTAAAAGGCATAGGATTGGAATAGAAATTCAACCTTCATGGAGGCAACCAGAGTGCTTAATCACAAGGGCATAAATAACAAATCCTAGCTACGTGATATAATTAATGTAAAGACCCATTAGCAGAAGAATAAACGCACTTCAAGCAGCTCAAACATTGCATAGGCTAAATGACTAGTTATTTTAAATTCAACCAATGATGCTTCCTATAAAAAGTTCAGAGTCCATCTAGGACGGTACAAATAAGCATAGCTTACCCTTACAGCCATCAATTTGCAGTTCTTGAAGCCTAGATGCCATTGCAGATGAGTTCCCAGGTGTCCCGTCAGAACCATTGCGAAATTTTTTTTCTAAACAAAGTATTTTAATTGAATTTCTCCCAAATGCAGTGTATGAGGATATCAAGGACTGAAGGCGCGGACACTTCATTAAAAGCTTGGATATCCCCATGTCGGTTACCAGTGTGCATCCTTTGATATTTAGAAAAGACAAAGAAAGCAACAGAGAAGATATTTTTAATAGCTCTAGATCTGAAAAAGAACAAAATGAAGCAAAATTTGGATTTAGCGTACATTTTAGTATTTGCACATAACAATGTACAAAAATAACAAAGCAAAACAAAAAAGGCACCCAGCAACTACCATCTAAACTTTAAAAACTGAATAAGCTTAAAATGGATGTTTATATAAATGAAAGTGCAGATAGAGAATAAAAGAGATAAGTAACAAAAAATCAAGAATTAGTTAAAAACACATGCAACATTAATACAGTACAGAAATGATAAACAACTTCTAGAAAAGACCAAAAATGTATTTTTGGCCTAATATAAAAAATAAATAAAAATTACTTTTATTCTTACCATTGGTATCACTTCTACCTTCAAGAGTCAGTTTTGTGATATTTGCAAGCACTGGCTTAGCAGAAATGATTTCACTCATACTTGACAAGGTTATTTTCTCTTCAAGAATTTTATATCTCATAGCATCTGCAAATTGATGCTCTTCAACATTTGCAGATAAAACAGATACGTTTCCAAAGATCACAGGACTAATATCAACTGTCAAGTCAACTTCAACAATATGTGGACACATACGTAGAAAGGAATACAGATTTTCATACTTGAAATCCAAATAGTGTGATGCCTTCAATATTCTTAATGATGGGAATGCCAAATATAACCATTGGATTACTAAAGCAAATCGCAGATTCGGACATTTAGAAATATCTACTTCAACTACAGATTCAAAAGACAAGAAGCTGCCAGCCTTCTGGATGATACAAGAATAATCACCCCTGTCCGGTTCACATGTGAAATCAATATCATTTGGAAGTATTCCGAGGAACAGAATGTCCATTGTAACATGAGGGCAGCCACAAAGCACAATTTTCTGATAATAAGTAATATTTTCTTAGTATTTCTTTCAGATTGCTTATATCTGTAAAGTTAGATAACTCAAACAAAACATATTCAGCTGCATCGGCTCCTATCATTAGATCTAGAAAATTTCAAAAAAAACACACTTCATTCAATGCTTTGCAGGCTCATACATGAATACAATATAAAATATAACTGTCACATATTGATGTGGTCCTGGGAAGAAAATATCCAAATGACTCGGCATTAGAACATGATGAAGGGTCAACACCTGGAAAACTAAATTAGCGCCTTAGAAGATCAAAGAAAAAGGATAAAATCGAAACAATGGCCAGATCTAACTCCACCAGACCTGGTCCAGCTCAAACTGGTCTAGATTACCCCACAAAGACTAGGACGATACCTTTATCCTTGGACATCTAAGGAATGCATGGTGCCCTTCACCGCCGCAACCCACAATGCCACTACAAATCACGCGGCCCATTGCAGCAACCTCATGACAGCACATAGTTGAACGGCGATGTCAAGAGTGAATAGTGTGACAATCAACAGTGAGTGGCCACTTCCAAGAAGACTACTACCTTGGGTAGAAAATTGGCCTCTCATTTCTTATGATACTCGTTTGATGGATAAATATAGAGAATTCAGCCTTCAAAATATCAATATTGAAGATCACAGATTATGCACCCAAATACACGAAAGCTCAAACAACCAATAAAAAATACTAATAAACTATTGACATCCCTTTTTTTTGCTATCATTTATAAGCCAGCACTAGGTATTTCATTTCCCCTAACTGAAGCTCCCATCATAAATTTTCTTAGTACTTGCACATCCTGAGAATAATAGTTGACATGGTAGCAATAGTTTAGTTGATTCAAGTATAAACTTGATGAACAGGTTTAAATCATAAGAGGAAACCTCTTTGGTCGATACAGACAAGACTGCATACTCCTTTCATGGGAAGCACAAAAACCCTGACTTCCAGTAATAAACAAATAATTATAAAAATGCGCTAATTAGTATCATCTGCTAGTTATCATATTGCATTAAATATTTCTAGGAACAACAAACACTGCAAGGATTTGTGTCACGTAAAACAAAACTAACTGAGGTGAACCGGAAAAGTTAACTGGTTAGTCTAGCAGTGATTGCAAGGTATTTGAAGCTGGAAGAAAGAAAACATTTCTCCAAATTCCCTTAACTAGCAATCCGATAGGTATTAAGAAAATAACCTCTGAATATTTGGTTAGACGAATTCGTAGACTTTTGGAGCAATCATTGTCTTCAAATGTATTTATTAGACTTGAACGGTGATTATTCATCACAAAAATAATTGCATGAATAATATCATCTGCAAAGCTGGGGAAGCAACGTCTTGTACCTACAAAATCATACTTATAAAAGATGAAAAATAACATGGAGAAAGGATTGCAAATCCTTAGGCTTTGTTTGTTAATGCCTAGTTTTTCAAATCCCTACCCCAAACATGAACCCCCTGTTATAGATAAAATATTTTTAAGAGTAGAAGAAAATATTTGTGAATGACAAAGGAAGAGAAACTTGTATTATATTGTTCTCTCTTACATCAAAATGACAAGGCCAAAGGCCTATTCATGTACAAAGATCATTCTAGAATCACAATCTAGAGAATTCTATAATAAATGTTCAACTAACTAGAAAAGTTCTTCCATATTCTAGAGAGTTCTTCAATACAATTTTCTGGATACAAAAAAAAAGACACTTGATAATTAATTTTGGTTTACATTTTCAAGCACCCCCTCCATAGGGCTACTTGTAGTGCAGACATTCATCTCTTATCAGAGTAACCGTGAGCGTATCACAAAAGTGAGACTAAACAAAGAATTTAGTTTGTCTAAGAAACTAACACATCCCTATAGCATACCTGTAGCAAAATCCAAAGGTAAAAGGCAGATCCGTACCTAGGAAAAAAATGAAGAAAATCAAGTAAAAAAAATTGAAGATTATTGCACAATATGCTTTATAAGAACAAAAAATGAAGTTTTGAAAAGAAGTTATTGTATAAATTTAAATCTTCTATAATGAAAAAGTTATTAGAATTAAGCTAATTCTATAAAAACCCTCGTTCTATAAAAACCTAGTTGTTGTAAAGCTTCATCAGTTCAAGAAGAACTAATTCCACCATAAAAACCTAGTCTTACCTCTTGAACAAAGGACAATTTTATTAGTTTTCCGGTACATAAGTGTTGAGTCCACCATCCAATTCCTATAAAGCAGAAACATGGACATGGTGACGCATAAAATCTGAGTGACATAGGACATGAAATCAGAACGCCTGATATTATGTATACGTAACCATCCATATTACTAATACTAATTTTGTATACAACATAGTTAACATGAAAGGTTTTTTCTAATGTGTGTGGATTAGACGTCTGCATGCGCCCAAGAAGTGTTGGAAAAAGTTTAGCAAAAATGACACGCCAAATGATATGTTCAAAATGGTGTTCTAAAGTGTTCAAACATAGGAGTAAAACCATCAGTTAGAAGATAAGTGTGACAGCCTTATTGAGAGATTATTTTAAAAATAATCTTAATGATATTATCTACAAAATATTGGCTTTTTATGAGTTGAAAGTATTCTTAAATTTATCACCGGTGACAAATAGTTATAGAGGATAGATAAATTGTCTAAAGTTATTGAGAGATTAATTTCACTTGATAAATAGTAAATTTTAATTTTTAATGGAATTGAAACCCCAAATGATTAACTTTGGAATTTAGAAGCATTTGAAAGTCATGTAATCCCCTTCGATTAAGATTTCAAGAGGCCATTACTAGTGACAATAAACTCACTTAAAAATATTTGCATCTGCAAAGTGAAAAATTGATTTTGATAATCAACCTCTCCCATTGAGATTTTCTTTCAACATGGCTATCATCGAGATAACATTGAAGTTACTTAAAAGCATTTATATTTACAGCTTGAAATTTTGAATTTTGAGAATTAACACCTCCAATTAATATTTACTTTCAAACACTACCATCATTGGGATGGCATTAAAGTAATTTGAGACATTTATCTTTGAAACATGATAATTTGATTTTGAAAATAGATCTCTCATGTTGAGATTTTCTTTCAAATATGGGCTACGAAAATTTGCGCTCCGACCTCTCCACAACACTTTCTTTTTGTCGGTGAGGACTTTTAACGAGTATATGTTACAGGGTAAAGTTTCAAAAGGCGCATTGGGTTTTTAGATACGACACTACGCAGAGCATTTGCCCTCATTTTGTGAGGACTTCATGATCTAAGTTCTATTTTTTATAGGCGCAAGCCTTTATAGTTAATTACCCCTTTTGATAATGAGAGATAACTTTTGATTAAGGCTAGTCTTTGAAAAGATATGTAGTATCCAGCATATAGTAGTAGCATAATTATATATTGAAAATTGAAATATTTATCATCATGCACTTAAAGCAGATGATAGAGGGAATGATGATGATTCTGATCAAGACCCCATGGTTCCATCATCCTAGGTTATCATGGTCCCTAGTTTACTTAATCAGAGGAGGTAGTCAACCCAACCTGATCGAAGGATCCTCGTCGACAGTCATGAGTTACTTCATAGAAGGGTACCTTGTAGACTTAAGATGAATGTTTTCATAAGGGGATAATTTTGAATCCACCTTAGCTAACAAAATGCTTCATGCCCTATCAATTCTATCCTATTGATTTATTACTCAAGGATTTAGGGCCGTTGATGAACATAAAGGCTATGGTCATGACCTTAATTTAGTGGTACAATTTCGTAGTAAAATACCTAGTTAGAGGGCCCCGGTTATAACCGTTTATCTATGGAGTCATTTAGTAGCTAAATCACAGGTTGGAGGACACGTGCCACGTCCTTACTGGTAGAAGATGGTTTGATAATGAATTATAGTGATATTTTTTACTAGACATTCATTCTTTTTGTGCTAAAGTAATTTTCAAATTTATCCACTTCGACAAACTGTTGTGGAGGGTTGATAGAATTTTATTTTAAGTATTTAGGTGATTTATTTTGATTAGATATTTTGAATTTTTGAAGAGAAATAGATTTAGAATTTGTATTTAAACTTGAGCCCGAACAATTAATTTTGAGATTTGAGAGCATTTCTTTAAAATTTGTGTGGACCCCTCCAGTTAAGATTTGCATTTAACACAATCATCATCTGAGTTTTATGAGTATTGTCATTTTATTAGTTGAACATTTTCAACTATGTTTTCTTGTAAGTAGAGGGTCGGGTTCAGCTCCTATTTAGAGATATCATATAGATATCAGAACTAGGGGTATTCATTTTAATATACCATTTTTTTTAAAGAGACCATAAAGGCCTAATATGAACGTATAAAATTAAATACTTCGGTTAACTTCATTGAGTGCCGATTATAAGAGTTTATAATTTTAGCAGTGAATATTTATTGTCATAGACCTTGAAGGCCTAATATGACTAGACAGTCGGATGGTTGATTAAATTTTCATTTGCTAAAACTATCTCCAATAAACTAAAAGAGCAACTAAAAATTTCAAAATATTATAAAATAAAAAGCAATAAATACATTTCTCTGGGACCATCGCCAACGATACATATTTTCTCCTCTTCTACTCATTTTTAAGATTTTGAAATAATACCTGTAATTATTTTTCAATAAAAAGAGTGAGTCATAAAATTAGTCAAGAGTAAATCATGCTTCTAAATTAAAGTAACACAAAACCTTTGAAATAATATGCATACTCATTTTCAAATATAAAGTAATTCCATTTAATTTAATTTTACATATATCATATCTTTATCATTTCTCTTAAATAATACAACCATAATAAGAGTCACGATCTAAATAAGTACTAATGAAGGTACTCATTTTTTATTTTCTTTTCCACAAACTTTTTCATTTACGTCTATGTGTATATTATGTCTCTAGCTAATACCATAAGAGGGCGTACTATATCAGTCAATCATGCACATGCAAGCATATGTTATCTAGCCATTTCATTGATATAATATTCATTAACTTTATATGATAATGTGAAACATAACATATTAATTTTCATTTGACTCAACATGACAAATCATTAGATATGAAAAAAACAAATCATGATCTAGCTTGCAATAAAGACTTAATAAAGAGGTATTACTATCCTTCGATGCAATTAATTTAAGAGATGACAAAATCATTAATGTAATTAAAAAATATGAGTACTCACCTTGATTCTAAGTATTGGGATAACTTACTCTTTCTTCTAACTTGCACGCTGATAAATTTAGCACCTATATGAAAAACATATTCGTTAAAATTTAAGTTATAAATTGCTCAAATATTTTTAATTATATGCCCACTCTCTCTTTCTAAATTATTGAAAATTCATAACCTAATGGATGATATTTTAAATTTACTACCATGATTTATATATCAAAATTAATTTAATTTCTATAAAAATGCCAAATATCTCTAGTCAATTAATATATTATTTGTATAAGATCTCTTTTTATAAAGTTTGTTTTATCGCATCGAAATAATCTTTCTAATTTTAATTGTATTTTTCTAAAATTTCTAGTACATATTAAATAATTCCTAAAAGTACTTTATTACTAAAAAAAACTAATTTAATTAATTAAAATCTCTTATAATATTTATACATTCTTAAAATTCTAAAAGTTAGAAATTCTGACCTAATCTTCAGTGAGAGAATAGCTTCAATTTTAAAAGTCTGAAATTCGAACCTAACCTTCAACCTTGAATTAGAAGTCGTAATGGTGCAAAATCATATAGTCATCATATAACTTGTATAAAGATATTGAATAATAAATAAGACAGAAAGTGGTATTATGCATTTTTAATGATCGATATAGGATTTGCATGTGTTTTAAATTAATTGTCAATTATTATTTCTTATGCATTGCTTGTGTATTTTGTTGATCCTTGACTAATTAGCAGTGGTTGTACTATAGATAAGAGAAAAGAGACAGTGGGTTGTCGGAAAGTCAGTTGATTACTCTTTTATGTACATACACTTTTGGGTGTACAAAGAGACCTAAGTAAGAGCTATACAAACACTTTTGATGATGTAAGTAAATTTTAAAAGTTTTTAGTAATGCTCTATACTTCAATTGAGATATGTATTTTATTTGAGATATATTACATCAGCTTCCTATTATGCATTATAAAGATTGTTATGTTATGATACGTTAAGATATTCTGAATAAACTACTCCTTACTCTCTGATTCTGATAGAAGTATTTCAGATTAGGTGTTAGTAACGAGTTCTTTCCAGATTCTTCTTCTCTGTTATACTCTAGATTGACTGTAGGAGGGTCAAAATGGGATGTGATAGACTAAGCAGTTGAAGCACTTATAAGCAGTTATATACATTTAAATTTATAATTAGCATGCTTTTAATAACTATGCATAAGCATGACTACCTATAGAAAATTAGATTAATATTAAACAAATAAGACGGTCCTAATCTATAATATCTATCCACTCATCACAAACTCATCACTTAATAATCACAAGTATGAACAACCACAAACACAACATGCATCTACCAATATGACTCACCCAATGACATGTGTAATAACTACATGCACATGAAATAAATCAAATAAAATCAAAACAATACTATTAGCCTAAGATTAGAGTTGGTTGTCTTAATAAATAAACGAAGTGTGTACTAAACTGTATAGTTTGGATGTTTCCTATTAAAGTTTAAGATTGTATTTTTTCTTATTTGAATTTGTTATAGGCTGAGTTTTATTTAAATTTTAAGTGTTATTGAATTATGAATTTATTATATATTTTAAGATAAAATATTTTAAACTTTTATTATTATTACTATTATTATTTTAATTTTAAAGAACATATTAATCAATGAACTCTAGGTGCAACAAATTCATTGACAAACAAATCCTAAACTTCAAATGAATGTAAATGCTTTATCCCAAGAGGAACAAAATAATTACATAAGACTATGACATTATATATATATATATATATATTCTTACTTTTTTAAGAATAGTAGTCATATTTAAGTTTCAAAATTTATTTAACGAATATGAATTTCAATTAAATTTGATTACTTTATTTAATTATGAATTGTTATTGTTAATATTTTAAAAGATTTCTTGTATTTATTTCCTCTTTAGGTTTGAGTTTGATTGAAGTTTAATTTTACCTTTAAAATTTTAATTTTAATTGATCTTATTTTTATAATTATTCTAAAGTTTTTTTAAAATGAAATGTAATTGAGTTTATATTTTTTATGAATTTTTATAAATTATTTATAAATTTTTCAAATTCATTTAATAATAAGGATTATATATATATAAGATATTTATGGTTTGCTATTTGAGTTACCAAATAATTTTAAAATTTTATGAAATATTAAACTAAGGTCAATGAAAATCTAAGATAAAATTTTTGAAAATTTAAATACATTTAAACCATTGGTTGATTTTTAATGATTTATTTAATTTGACCTTTTATTAATATTCAAATGAATAAATTATAGGCTTAAGCCAAACTCAAAGAGGGATTTTATTTTTTCTTTATCAAGTATTGAATTATAAATGAAATGCAATTGAGCTTATATTTTTCTTATTTTGCTTCATTGTTTTATTTATTTTTGAATTTCCTAGGGTATTTATAGGTGGATTTTAGGGTTTGAGAATTGAAGGTTCAAAGGAGCTTAAATTTTTATGGTATGAAATCCATAAACTAATTAGGATTTAGCAACTTTCCATACAAATTTAGATTATTTGAAGGCTCTATAAGTTTTATATAATTTTCCTAAGGTGACTAACCCTAAAACTTGGAACATTTTCTAATAGACTGGTTGAGCCTGTGGGCCCCACTAAGGTGGGTGGTAAGAAAGAAGAGCAAAGAGGATTAATTCCACTTTAATTACTTACCACAGAAAACTAAAATTGGAGAGAATTAGGAAAATTTATTTAAGGAAAGAAGGTTAATTTGAACTCAAATTTGGGAGAGAATTAGAAAAGGTTTATTTAGGAAAAGATGGCTCATTTGAATTTAAATTTGGGAAAGAATTAGGAAAGATTTATTTAGTAAAAGAGGGTTAGCTTGAATTCAAATTTGGGAAGGAATCAAGAAATGTTTATTCAGGGAAAGATGGATAATTGGAATTCAGATTTGGGCATAAATTATGAAAGTTTATATTAGGGTTAATTGGGTTGTTTTATTTTCATTGTGTGAATTGTGTTTGGTTGTAGTTTTCTTTAGAGTTGTTGTAACACTTGAACCGAACCGGCTACGATTCGAGCTCTCCTTCTGCGTGTATGTGAACTGCATTAGCAAACCGCCTCCTTGCGCACAAACCGAGTCACACACGATCAAACGACATGAGCCTCCTTTATATGCGCAACCTCTCTCTCCAATCGCAATAATTTAGCGATCCTACTGCTCCTTTGGATTCTCTCGCCCTGTGCTCTCTCTCTCTCTCTCTCTCTCTCTCTCTCTCTCTCTCTCTCTCTCACCATTTTAGGAGGCAAAGGAGATAGGGCATTATTTTGAACCTTCCCTTGCCTCTCTCGCAGCCACCGAAACCCCTCCCTTTCGCAACCGCCAAACCTAGAATCAGCAAGTATCTCTATAATTTCTCTTTTTCTCCTTCTATAGTAAGCTCTTTCACCCTCTCCTCTCCCACCTCTCTTTTATTTTCTTCTTCATTTTTATCAAGTTATATAATAATTTTTCTCTTGCATCGTTTAACTAGTTTTGATTGGTGGGGATTTTATTTCAAATTTATCATTTTTTTATTAGTTTAGTTTAGCTTGCTTTGGGAAAAAGCCTTATTTATGTTTGATGTTCAAATTAATCTAACCCTATATTATCCTTTAGGCTTAATTACTATATATATATATATATATATATATATATAAAGTAAGCTCGAGTTCTATGAACCTTATGTTTCAAGCATTGAAGCCTTTCAACATGATTCTTATTTGTAAGATTTTTGAGTCGTTGCCCTTGTAGCACTATTAGTTGATTATGTTTTGGCATATAGTTTCGTGTTGCTCACCTAGAAGTAACTGTTATTTATTTTGATATAAACTTACCCTTCTTTGTTAGGGATGTAATATGTGTTATTTGTATTAGGTTATTTTATAATTATTTAAATTATCAATTATATATTAAATTTTTCAGCATGATCACACATGTAGTAAATCTTCGCTATTTTGTAAAATGAATTAGTAGGTGATAGAATTAACCTTACCTTGAATTACTGCTCACTAGTTCTCATTCATACAAGTTAAATTCATGTATTAGAAAATTTAAATTCATGCATTTTTAGTTTTGTTAAATAAAATAAATCTCATTCTTGCAATTCATATAAATTACACAAATCATAGTTGCCATTTTGATTTACATAATGTCTGTTGATTACTCATACAAGCACTTATGTTGTATGATTATGTGTGTATCAGTAGAACTCTATTGGTTTTTGGCTAGTCGGGGTTGACGGACCCCTAGAGTGACGACTCTACAGGAAATCATTAGATTTCCTTGAGTTATTTACCTTCATGGTGATGGGTATATGATAAACTGAAAATAGATATATATGTATAAATATAAGGAAATATAAGTGGACATGAATTGGAAATAATAAATAAATAATATGCCCTTTTGAGGTATGAGAATACCTAGTGTGGTTGCAAGTATGACTATTAAAATAATTTACAATAATAGTAGTTAGACATATATATTAATAGCATTAGCATATTAAAATTCTATTGTAGGAAACATGACATGTGTTAGTGCTATGTTTTGGTGACTATAAGTTGTTACTTCTACCTTTTGATTGTTCATACTACATGCCCCATTTCGTTGTCATTTATGATTTGATAGATAAGAGTTATTTGCTAAGTTTGATTTATCAAACTCACCCGTTGCTTCTTTTTACAGTAGGTCTGGCAGATGTGTTTGATGAACTGTCACCTCGAGACCAGAGTTATCGGCAATAGTCTGTTTTTTATATTTTGTATTTTATAAAAATTTATTTTGCTTCTGACTGATGGTTGGGCAGTTTCTTTCTTTTTATATTCCTTTTGGCTTGTATTAGAACTATTATTAATTGGATGTACTAATTATTTGTATTTTATTGATGAATTGACTTTTTAATTCATTTCCTTTTTTTAATTTACTCTGATGTATATATATCATGTTGTATCACTTGTATATACTTGTTCCTCTTTGTAAATACAAAATAGGTCTTTCTATCCTTTCATCGCATCTCGTGTTGACAATGTTTACCACCTTTCGGACCCGTAGTGTGACAGTTGTTCCTAGCAGCGCCTAGTGCTTATGGAGAGTCAATGTATATCTCGAATAGTAGATCAACTTGTATCTTGATTTGTTGTGTCGATATAAAAATCTTTCTCATTTATTTCTACTACATTTTCACATCGTTATTGTTGTTTTTGTTGTGTGGATATCATATTCCTATCAAATTGGTATCAGAGCACCTTTTTTGGAAGCTATGAAGGCTAAGAAGGTTGATGTGTTGGAAGAGATGCTTGATGGGGAAGTTGGGAATCTTAAATCTAAATTCCAAAAGCAAATTTCAGCAATTGAGGTATGACTGATTGTGTTATATATTATTATGCTCTAATGAATATTTTGATGGATATAAGCTATTTATGATGTATGAAACTTTAAGATTGTCCATGTCATGACCATATTTTCATTACATTCTAGTAATGGTAGATCATAGAGTGGCTTGGACTATTCCATCACGATCATCTGTTCACCTTAGTTTATCAGAGTTCCTGGACCGGATCTTGATAGCCATAACCATAGGACTGAATTAGTGGATCTAATGAATTTTCCATGTTCATTTCTAATTGCATGCCAACTACAGTCCATGATTTCATGGAAAAGAAACAAAGTTAATCTGTAGATAAAAAGTTCCAATGATTTCTAGACCACTTAGAGTAGTGTAAGAAAACTAAATTGGCAAATTAGAGGCTGCAAGGAAAAAGCAATTTATCTATTCTTGATACCTTCTTAAGAATGTTGTAGAAGCTGTCCTCATAGTTGATAGGAAAGCATTCCCTAAATTCAATATTGTGGGAAAGCCAACCCAAAAGTGCTTCGCAAAGTTGAGCCTCACTGCCAAAAGTCCATATTGAATATAAATTAGCATGCACAGAAAAAGATGACTAGCTACGGTAACCAACCTTTCTACAGTAAGTTCTGGGTGTTCAATTGCAGAATATAACAATGTATATGGAATATCAACAAAAGAGCTACTAGATGCAGCCCAAGCCTGCATGAATCACATCGGTAATGTTAAAAAATAAACTTTGGTAAAAATTAATATCACTACTGAAAAATTAATTACGCACGGAGTTGTAAAGAATATGCATTGCTGCCTCCTGTAACGGGCAGTGGCACGTATTAGACTGTTGCATCAAGATATCCACATAAAAACAGTACATAACTTAGTTTAAATGTTCAGTTTTATTTATTTTTTCTTTTTTGCATGTTCAGTTTCAATTTGACGCACATGGCAATACATTTTTGTTTTATAAATTGAACTTAAGGTACTCATTTACCGTACCAAACTTTGAAAAGTAGCACTATTGATAAGTGCACTGATCATTAGTTGCAGTAAGCATTTGATAATAATAATGCCATCCTCTATATTGGATGTGTAAGAGTTTGTACAAATTGAAATCAAACCTCCTCTCCAACGACTTCAGCTCATTTTTCATTTGGCCCTTCTGACTGTATTTATATAAACTTCACAAAAAATATAGATATTTTCTCAGTTGATTAAATTATGTAACTACCTGGGTTTCGAAAGTATAGTCCTAATTTATTATCAATTGATTATATTCAAAGTTTCAATAAAAGAAATCATTTTTTTAACAATTTTTATGTCTTCAAAACAAGGTTAATACTATATCAAATAAATATAATGTGAGTTTTTAATATCAATTTTTATTTCTTATTTCATAATAATTTAGATGCCAATTAAAATATATTTATTTCGATCATCATATAATAATTTTTGTTGCGGGCTAAAATATACACAGCAATAGAGTAAGGATTTTTTGTCTTAACGTTCAACGGATATCCAACACATAAACAAATAACTAAAAAACAATATGATTTTTATGTGGAAAACCAAAAAAAAAGGAAAAATCACGGGGTCACACCTAGGAAGAATGATTCCAATATTGTTTGAATATGTTACAAAGATTGACCTATCTTGAAACTTGGGGATGATAAAATTACAATAGTTTGGAAAGTTTGGGGGAAATTCGGCATTGATCGATTATGGGGCAAAACTCCGGCAAAACTCCGACATCAATCGGTGGTCAGGCGAAAGTCTGGCGACAATCGACTATTTGGTCGGTAAGTCCGGCATCAGTCGGTGGCCGGGCAGAAGTCTGGCGACGAAGGGTGGCCGGGCGGTGGTCGAAGAGGAGCTTACTGGCAAGAGAGATATCATATTTCATGTCCTTCTTCATCTTCTTTTTCCTCTTTCCTCCTCAGACCACTTCCTATACAAGAGGCTTTCCCCCACTTCTAACTGCAGGATCCCTCCCTTTACAGAAGTCCTCATGGGTGATCACCTATCTTTGAGAGATCCAATGACCAAAGAAGATCAATGTCCTGCTGCACAGAATGATAGTGAGAAGAGAACAACAAGGTGGCTATGGCTAACGACAATTTAAGGCGAAAGTCCGAGGGCGATCGACGACCGAGTGGAAGTTCGACGGTGATCAGTGGTTGGGTTGGTCATAGTCTGGAGATGGTGGTCGAAGAAATCGTTATCGGGCAATGATGATCGAAAGGACCATAGTCGGTGGGCGATGAAGGGAGGAAATACTGTAGTCAGCAATGGTGGTCAGAAGGACCATAGTTGGACAACGGAGGTCGGAAAGACTATAGTCGGCATGAGACAAAGGTCGGAAAGACCGTAGTCGGTGATGAAAATCAGAAAGATCGTAGTCGATGACGGTAGTTGAAAGGATCGTAGTTGGGCGACGGAAGTCGAAAAGACTGTATTTTACGGGCTACTAAGGTCGAAAAAACGGTACTCGGGCGACAGTGGTCGGAAGGACCGTAGTCGGCAGGCAACGTTGGTGTCCACAAAGATTTTTGACAACATTAGCATTGAAGAGGAGACCTGATGATAATCAGCAGACAGGTGGACTTTCGATGATGATTCATGGTCGAGCTGTATTTTGTTGGAAATAATATGCTAATAGAGGCATAAGATGAATATCCAGATTGAGGGGATCAAATGCTGTGTCGACCGCAATAGTCTAACAGCACATTCATATTGCCAATTAAATGGAAGTCGGTGGTTTGCAATAAATTTTTTCATCACTTTGATTTATTACAGTGCACGAGATGATGTCGATATAATTTTAATTTCAACATCTTGTGAAAAAGAATGTACACTCAAACTTGATGTATACTTTTACTATATAACTCCTATTATCTCTGATGCACCGACACTTCGTTTTAAGAGCGTATGCAATGTCGGACACGTGTCGGACACGGACACACGTCCGACACGGCGAAGACACGTGACGAACACATCACTAGTGTGTCCCATTTAAAAAAAAATTAAACAAGACACGCGTGTTGGACATGCGTGTTTGACTATTATATAATTAAATAAATAAATAAAACCCTAATCCCGCTATTTTATATTAGCCGGTTCACGCCCGAGTCTTCATCTTCTCCTTAACTCCATTTTCCTATTTGTATTTGTGATCTTCCCGAGAGATTGAGGGGAGCAGCGGACGGCTGGAGATTGCACCCTTGGTCTTCCCTTCCAGCCGTAAGCAACAAGTCATCCTCAGTTTTTGGGCCCAGCCAAGGGAAGCCGACGCCAAATCATAAAATTTTTTTCAAACCTGTAAGTTGATTTCATCATTTTTTTCTCCATTCGCCATTTCGTTTCATTTATCAATGATTCTGTAAATTTGTGATCAGAAGCATATTTTTTTAAAATATTTTATTTATTTTGGATTAAAATTATTCTTATAATAAAAATTTATTTATTTAATGCGCTTTAACTGTGCTTTTGTTGCGCTTTCACTGTGCTTTAAGTGCGCTTTCACTGCGCTTTTGTTGTGCTTTAAGTGCGCTTTAGCTGCGCTTTTACTGTGCTTTCGTTACGCTTTCACTGCACTTTTGTTGCGCTTTTGCTGCGCTTTCACTGCGCTTTTGTTGCGCGACCTGACCGGGCAAGTCAAACCCCGCCAGGGGGAAGCGCCCCCTTGGACCCCCGGCATAGTTGCAAATTTTTAATTGTTTTTTATTCAGATAGTCATAAAGCATGATGCAATAGTTCTTTAATTATTTTTTAACTTTGTTTGCAATTTTTAATTGTTTTACAATAAGTCTTTATTTCTTCTACTTCACCAGTGAATTTAAAAGCAAAATGAGCTCTAGTGCTGGTGGGAGTGGTTCAAAAGAGTCATCTATAGAAACTACTAAACTATTATGGATTCATGTTACAAAGTTAGGAAAAACTTTTGGAGGAGGGAATGTGTCATTCAAATGCAATTATTATGGTGGCACCTACAAAAGATCTTATTCTAGGGTGAAAGCACATATACTTAAGATTTATGGCCATGACATTAACATGTGTCATAAGATTACTACGTCATAGTTGATTAAATTGAATAGACAAGTTGATGAAGCTGAATCTAGGATCAAAAGGGCATTTCCTAAAGATATATATTTGCCATCTACCCATGGTTCATCCCACACTTCTTCCTCATTTGTTAGAGTTGATCATTCATTATCATATAGAAGTGAAAGATATGATTCAAAGAAAAGAAAAGGAGTTGCCAGTAGTGTTTTAGAAAAGGCTTTTAACATGCAGCAGCAAGAGGAATTGGATGGTGAAATTGCAATGATGTTTTTTCAGCTGGACTTCCTTTCAACCTTGCAAGAAATTCTCATTATAAAAATGCATTCACTTTTGCATGTAATAACAAACTTGCAGGTTATGTTCCACCTAGCTATAATGCATTAAGATCAAAATTATTGGAAAGGGAAAGAGCACATATTAAAACATTGCTTGAACCAACAAAAGATGTGTGGAAAGAAAAATGAATCACTTTGATGTGTGATGGTTGGACTAATCCTCAGAAAAGACTACTCATTAATTTCATGGCCATTACAGAGAATTGTCCAATGTTTATTAAAACTGTGAATTGTGAAGGAGAATACAAGGATAAATATTTCATTGCCAATTTGATTAAAGAGGTGATAGTCATTATTGGGCCTTCAAATTTTGTGCAGGTTATAACAGATAATGCACCGGTGTGTAGAGTTACAGGATTGTTGGTGGAGCAAACATATCCTCATATATTCTGGACTCCATGTATAATGCACACTTTAAATCTTGCTCTATAAAATATTTGTGCAGCAAAAAATACAGAGGCAAATGAAATCATCTATGTTGAATGTCATTGGATAACAGTGGTTGCAGATGATGCTGTTTTGATCAGAAATTTCATTATGAACTACTCAATGAGACTTTCAATGTTTAATGATTTCTCACATTCGAGAATGTTATTTGTTGCTGAAACTCGTTTTGCCTTTGTAATAATCATGTTGAGAAGATTCAAACAAATAAAAAATGCCCTTCAATCTATAGTGATTAGTGAGAAGTGGTCTTGCTATCGAGAAGATGATGTTAGGAAAGAAAGATATGTGAAAGAAAATGTCTTAGATGATTTGTGGTGGGATGATGTAGATTATATTTTGGTTTTAACTGATCCGATTTATGACATGTTGAGAGAGACTGACACAGATAAATCATGCTTACATTTGATTTATGAGATGTGGGATTCTATGTTAACAAAAGTGAAAGTAATTATATATAGACACGAAAGAAAGTCACATAATAAAGACTCAAGTTTTTGGAGCATTGTCTATACCATTCTTGAGGATAGGTGGAAAAAAAGCAACACACATCCGCATTGTTTGGCCCATTCATTAAATCCAATGTACATTTGTATTCATCTTTTAAATTAATTTTAAATTTCTTGGTAAATGATTAAATAATTTTTTATGCTTTGTAATATTTGAAGATATTCAAGTAAAGAATGGCTTCAAGAAGACCCTCAACGTGTCTCACCACAAAAAGATTTAAAAATGTCAAATATGAGAAAGATATGCTTGAAACGATATTTCCCAAAATGAGGAGAGAAGAAAAATTAATATAGAACTTGCAAAGTTCTTTGGATATTTAGAGGATTTTGGTGATCAAGAATCTTTGGTTGATAG